CTGCGGTTGGGGGGGAGATGTGGGGCCTCCTCTGTGTGAGAGAGCTTAGGATCAAGGGGGAGATGTGAGATCTTTTTTTGTGTGACAGGACTCTGAATGGGGGGGGGAGCAAAATGTGGGGCCTCTTGTGTGGGAGGTCTCAGGATGGGAGGGGGGCAAGATGTGGGGCCACTTCTTTGTGATGGGGTGGTGGGCAGGGGGAGCTCTGTGTGGAACAGTGAGGTCTGGGTGAGGGGGGAGGTTGTTGATGGTGGGGTCTGGGTGGGGGGAGCTTTAGAGACCACCCCCAGGTAGGGGAGATGTAGAGACTGCCTGTGTGTGCCAGTGGGAGCTGGGCAGGGTCCCTGTGTGTGTAGCAGGCAGAAGCAGGAGGGCTGTTTCATGTGTGACAGTGAGGTCTGGGTGGAGGATGCTGGGGGCAAGGGGAGGTGTGGGGGATCCCCGTGTGTGGCACTGGGGTCAGTGCCTTAGGGGGTGGCCAGGGTGAGGCCTTTCTTCCTTAGCTCTGCCTTAGGAGATGAGGGCAGGGGGTAGGGGAGGACATATTTCAGTCTGGAGGTGAAAAGCCTGCCCCACCAGTACTCCTGAATTAGTAGGATGAGACCAAATCTCTCTTCTTTCAGCACCCTCATAGTACAACTTCTGCTTCTGCAGGAGGATGTGGTTGAGAGGGAAAAGTTGGGAGTGTGGGGAGGGGGGGCAGGATCCCTGCTGAGGGCTGCTGCATTTCTCAGCGTGGGAAGGGAAGTCTTGGGGCTCACACTGAATGAAAAACCTGTCCAAAAAAGTACCAGGCACCACTGAGGTGACAATACTGACAGTGAAGTGAATAAAATAAATACTCAGTATTTTTAGTGGTAAAAAAAATCTGCCTTTTGTTTTTTCAAACACTAAACATGACTCTGGCTGGAGATAAAAGTCCATTCATGTAGTTTGCTCTGGATTACTGTCTTTCCTTCTTTACTCTTGTGCTGACTGAGAATCTTGCTGCATACATTGGACAGATTTTGTCTTTTCCCTCTGTTTGTTGGTAACCTCAGAATGACACCAGAACAGAGTCCAGCAACTTCCCTCATCGACAGGACCATCAAGATGAGGAGAGAGACTGAAGCCAGGAAGGTGGTCTTGGCCTGGGGGCTCCTCAACGTGTCAGTTGCAGGCATGATATACACTGAGATGTATGTTCCTTCTGACCTCTGCTTCCACCAATCCAATTGGGTAGATCCCTCAATATTTCCAGGGACTGAACAGTTGCAACATCTACTTGGTTTTCCCTTTCAGGTCTGGAAAACTCATCAGCTCCTATTACAACATCACATACTGGCCACTCTGGTATATTGGTGAGTCACTGCTGCATTTCATTTGATTTCCAGGATTCTTCTCTATTTTCACTTGTCAGTTTTATTGCCAGAAATGTCACTTTTCACCCCACCATGTATGTATTTCTTTCATTTCCATCAAAACTTAGTTTTGCTTCAAGCTGTTGGGATTTCAGCATTTTTAGTGTCAGGTGAGGAGTGTTAAGAGCTTTTTTTGATGTATCATGAGAGGGCAGGTGCTGCTTTAAATATGTTTGATATGTGGGGAACATTGCAGGTTATCCTGGGTTGTACTGTGGGTGGGGAGGACATTTCATAATAATTTACGTTTGTTTTGGCTAACTAACTGTATTAATTAGTGTTAGAGAAGGAAGCAGGGAGAAAAGCCATGAGATGAGGGACAGATGATTTGATGGAAGATGTTTTTTGAGAAATGCCCTGAAACTTGATTGCAGTAGTTTATGTCCCTTTTGGAGAATCCCAGACTGGTTTGGGTTGGAAGGGACCTCAAAGATCATCTAGATCCATCCCCCCTGCATGGGCAGGGACACCTCCCACCAGCCCAGGCTGCTCCAAGCCCCATCCAACCTGCCCTTCAACACTGCCAGGGATGGGGCAGCCACAGCTTCTCTGGCCAACCTGGGCCAGGGTCTCCCCACCCTCACAGCCCAGAATTGCTCCCTCCCATCTCAGCTCCAGCTCCCTCTGCCAGCTGGAAACCCTTCCCCCTGCTCCCATCCCTCCCTGCCCTTGTCCCAAGTCCCTCCCCAGCTTTCCTGGAGCCCCTTCAGGCACTGGAAGCTGCTCTCAGGTCTCCCTGGAGCCTTCTCTTCTCCAGGCTCAACACCCCAACTCTCCCAGCCTGTCTCCAGAGCAGAGCTGCTCCAGCCCATTTTTAACCATTCCATTTTAGCAATACCAATTAATCTGAATACAGAAAGGAAATTTATCTTCTATTGTTCTTGCATAAGAAGGTGAAGAAATCCTAGATATTTTCCAAAATTTGTACTGATTTACATTGTCCATCTCCTGCCTTTTGCCAACAATTCACTTTCCTTGTTCCTCGTGCTCAGACCCTCTGTGTCTCCTCCAGAACTCGCCCTTGCATCTCTCTTCAGCCTGAATGCCCTGTTTGATTTCTGGAGGTACTTCAAGTACACGGTGGCACCAACGAGCTTGGTCATGAGTCCTGGCCAGCAGACCCTGCTGGGCTTGCAGAATGCAGGTGGGTGTCACAAATATCTCTGGAAATACTTTTTTTTTTTTTTTAATTTTGAGATGATTCCTTTCTCAATGGCAGGATTCTTTAGTGAACTGAGCTCTGAAGTACCTCATCTGAACTGAGTGATAAACTGAGTTACCTGTAGAATCACTGGCTGGTTTGGGTTGGAAGAGACGTTAAAGATCATCCAATTCCAACCCCCTGCATGGGCAGGGACACCTCCCACCAGTCCAGGCTGCTCCAAGCCCCATCCAACCTGCCCTTCAACACTGCCAGGGATGGAGCAGCCACAGCTTCCCTGGGCAACCTGGGCCAGGCTCTCCCCACCCTCACAGCCCAGAATTTCTCCCTCCCATCTCAGCTCCAGCTCCCTCTGCCAGCTGGAAACCCTTCCCCCTGCTCCCATCCCTCCCTGCCCTTGTCCCAAGTCCCTCCCCAGCTTTCCTGGAGCCCCTTCAGGCACTGAAAGGTGCTCTCAGGTCTCCCTGGAGCCTTCTCTTCTCCAGGCTGAACCAGTACTGGGCAACCTGGGTCAGTGTCTTTTCCGTCTTCTCTTTTTTTCCTCTCTGTGACTTGACTGCTGAGTTCTGTAGGGGCCAGATTTTTCTCCTGTCCTTTCTAACATCTGTACAGAATTGCTTTAAGATGGTGTCACGTGTCCCATTTTCATCTGCACTGAAAGGGGGAGAAGAGTTTTGGGGCAGTAACTTCTGATTTTCCCTCCCTGCAGCTGTACAAACCACCCCACCCCGGGAGCTGGCGGCCAAGAAGGTCCCGTCTGCGACGCCTTCTCCTCCCATCCAGGGTCAGAGTGTGCTGAGTTACAGCCCTTCCCGTTCTCCCAGTGCCAGCCCAAAGTTCCCCACTGGTTGTCTCACAGGATACAGCCCCCAGTTCCAGGCTCTGCCAGGCAGCAGCCCTTCCTACAGCAGCACTGCCACTTACTCACCCAGCAGCAGCTACAGTAAGGTAAGGACCAAGGCAGCTCCCAGGGGGACACTTTGCTCCTTGTGTTGTCTATCAAAGCTGAGCAGCAGCCAGCAGAGATGGCTGTGTTTGGGTTGTGTGTGTTTGTTCCTTTTGTGAAGCAGGTGGAAAACTGTCCTCTCAGGATTTGTCCTTTTTCTCTGGTGTCACTCTACTTGTTTTAGAGTGGCTGCTTTGTTTCAGAGCAAAGCAAAAAGAGGAAACCAAAATACAAAGGGGGGAAATGTTGAAGGGCAGGCTGGATGGGGCTTGGAGCAACCTGGTCTGGTGGGACGTGTCCCTGCCCATGCAGGGGGTTGGATCTAGATGATCTTTTAGGTCCCTTCCAACGCAAACCATCCCACGATACAAAAAGATGCTGTGATTCTAACAAAAACCCCAACCTAAACCCCAAGCAGGAGTTTTTTCATGTTGTTTCAAGGAGGAATTCTGTCTCCCTCACGTGACACGACCATTTATTTTTATCCACCCAAGGCTTCCAGCTTCAGCCCCTCTCCCAGTGGATCCCCATACACCACCACTGTTGGACCAGTGGAAAGTGGTGGCCTGAGGTCTCGTTACCGCTCCTCACCCATCCTCTATAATTCTCCTGCTGGCAAAGAAGACTACATGACAGACCTGAAGTCACTGGACACCTTCCTTAGAAATGAAGAGGAGAAACAGCACAGAGTTCAACTGGGTAAGTCAGCATGGGATAGGAAAAGCTTGGTGTGGAGAACATGTTTGGTTTATTTGAGATTGGCTTTTGCAGGTGAGGGAAGTTGGAAAGGATTCCAGCACTAGTTCAGCCTGGAGAAGAGAAGGCTCCAGGGAGACCTTAGAGCACCTTCCAGTGCCTGAAGGGGCTCCAGGAAAGCTGGGGAGGGACTTGGGACAAGGGCAGGTAGGGATGGGATGAGGGGAAAGGGTTTCCAGCTGGAAGAGGGAGCTGGAGCTGGGATGTGAGGGAGAAATTCTGTGCTGTGAGGGTGGGGAGACCCTGGCCCAGGCTGCCCAGAGAAGCTGTGGCTGCCCCATCCCTGGCAGTGTTGAAGGGCAGGTTGGATGGGGCTTGGAGCAGCCTGGAATGGTGGGAGGTGTCCCTGCCTATGGCAGGAGGGTTGGAACCAGATGATTTTTAAGGTGCCTTCCAACCCAAACCATTCCATGTTTCTAAGATGTGATTCTATGGTAACCACCTTGGTAAAGGTGCCTGCTGGCCTGTTTGGTCTTCTAGTGAGTAATTAGGACGTGAGGTAGGACACCATCAGTGCTACACAGCTCTCTGGCTTAGGAGCTTCAGGAAGCTCCCCTCCAAAATACTCTTGGATAAAAAAGATGCTGGTCTGGCAGCCTATGGAAATGTGTGCTGTTGGATTATCTCTGTCAGGGTGATGGATGGGCTTTATCACCTTGAGGAGGGTTATCTGATGGAGGAGGCATTTCAGGTCATGGGGTTGAGTTGCCCACATCAGTTTTTTGTCTTGGGTAGGAGCAATCAAGAGGCACGTGGAATCAGTGTTCATGCAGACTGGCTGCAGCCTGTGTATTCATGGCAGTTGGTGGTCCTGTCTCTTGTCACAGACTGACCTGCTGCCTCTTCTGGTGCTTCCAGAATTCCTTGGCAACAACTGTTCATGACTGCTTAATGAATCTTTGCAGGAAGTTCAGATTCCAGCTCTCCTTCCAGCAGCCCAACGTTTTGGAACTACAGCCGTTCCATGGCAGACTATGCCCAAGTGCTGAGGAAGTTCCAGTACCAGCTGGCCTGCAGGTCCCAGGCTCCCTCAGCACACAAGGATGAAGCTGATCTGAGCTCCAAACAGGCTGCAGAAGAGGTAAATTCTGTGGGCAAGAGGGAGAAACAGGCCTCTAAAACACACAGCTTTGTGCAAAGGCTTGGATGGGGCTGTATCAAAAATGTTGGAGGGAGGGGAATCCTCTGGTATTGAACCACCTGTGTACAAGCTTCCCTGGGAATGGAATTTGCAGTTTCTCGGTTGTAGTTGGAAAATGATTTTTCCCTTGGAGAGCGAGGCTCACACTGACTGAAGTGCATTTGTGACATAAAAAGTGACATTAAAAATGTGCTGCAGCTGCTCTGTGTTTAACCCAGTGGGAAAGCTGAAGGATGCAGAGCAGCTGGTCTGGTGGGAGGTGTCCCTGCTCATGCAAGGGGGGTTGGAACTAAATGGTCTTTAAGGTCCCTTCCAACCCAAACCAGTCTGTTATTCAGAGCCTTTATGCTTCCACCTGAAGAAGGGCTGATGCAAAGGGACAAACTTCTTGTGGCTTCAATTACATTTGATCAGTTTTCTTGATTTCCTACATTCATCTAATGAAGCTTCCTGTTCAAATACCTCAAAACCAAGCCTACAGGGCACAACAGTTTTATCCTAATACAGCTTAAAACTGGATGTGAGCTCATGCAAGATGGTTTGTACCAGGAGTAGAGTGTTCTCTTAAGTTCTTATATATCTTTACTAAACCTTTCCATAGGTTTGGGCACGGGTGACAATGAACCGACAGCTCCTTGACCACATGGATTCCTGGACTGCTAAGTTCAGAAATGTAAGTCCCATCTCCAAGGAATGCCAAGTTTTGAAGAACAGGTGCAGCTGAGTGGACAACCACCTCCATGGGCCTGGTTTGCCCATGGTTTGCTCCCAAACCTCAGGCCAGCTTCCTTCAGTTCCCCAATCCTGTCACTCTACAAATCCCACACCTACTTTTTTATCAGCTCCTTAATTTCCTGAAACAGATGGGAGAGGGAGTGGACCCATCAAAGCATAAATATTTATGGATGGAGGGCTGTGCTCCATAATAGCCCTTTTCTCATTGTTCAGAAAAGCTGTATCTGATCCTTTGTGGAGATTTGTTTTCCTGACATGACAGGAGATTTTAAAGAGTCATTTAAACTCTGCCTAAGTTGATATTCTAATTACTTTTCTCCTTGCTTGGCCCCATTTGTTAAGCTGCTCTGTGATTGTGACAATAATGATTAGTGGGTTGTGGTTAAGACCTGGGGTTATTTTTTTTACATCTTTTTGTTGCTTCTGACCACTTGAATTTTCACCCCTTTTCTTTCCCAGTGGATTAATGAGACTATCCTGGTACCTCTTGTCCAAGAGATCGAGTCTGTGAGCACTCAGTTGAGAAGAATGGGGTGTCCAGAGCTGCAGATTGGAGGTGGGATGAGGCAGAAGCTTTGGGTAGGGGGGTTAATGGAGGGGCTGGGGTGATAGAAATATATAAAAATCAGGTGATTTATAAATCAGGTCTGTTAAATCTCTCTGTTCCTTTACCACTCTGTATGGGTGTGGTCTTTGTTCCTTGTCATACATTTCATCCAGCTGGAATTGTTCTTCATAAGACTTTAGGAGATGAAGTCACACTAATGCTTGTTTCATTTAAAATTCATAACCCTCCCTTTTTATTTCTTTGTTTTCCCCTAAACTTACTGCTTGGGATTTACAGGCTCAAATTGTCATTGATTATAGCATGGGAAACTGTCAGAAAATATTTCAGGGCTCTCAGTGTGTCCCTATAAACCCTCAGTGTCTCCAGTCCTATGTGCTTTTCCAACTTCTTCCTTGAAATCAGCTGCTTTCTGAAAGAAGTACTTGTTTTAGGTGGTGATGATCTGGAGTTGGGACACAATTTTGAATTACTTGCTCCTCTTGTTGCTTCAAATGTATATCCCCTTCACCAAGAAGTGGATTTGCTGAGCTACATTTCCTTTCAATCCACCTTTTTTGGGTAGTTTGTTGTAGTGTCTCCTCAAGAGCTGCATCTCTTGTGGTGCCTGTAGAAAGACTGATCAGTGCTGGTCTTCTCCCCACCTCATTACTCTCCCTCTGCTCTTCGAAGTGGATGTTGCTTCCTTGTAGCTTTGATGTTCTGTGAAGCACCTGCTGCTTCACTGGGATGGAAATGAGCATCTGAGGCAGTGTCACATGGTAAATACTTCAGAGGATCATGGAATGGTTTGGGTTGGAAGAGACCTTGATGATCATGCAGTTCCAACCCCCCTGCATGGGCAGGGACACCTCCCACCATTCCAGGTTGCTCCAAGCCCCATCCAACCTGCCCTTCAACACTGCCAGGGATGGGGCAGCCACAGCTTCCCTGGGCAACCTGGGCCAGGGTCTCCCCACTCTGACAGGGAAGAATTTCTTCCTGATGTCTAACCTCAATCTCCCCTCTTCCACTTTAAAACCCTTCCCCCTGCTCCCATCCCTTCCTGCCCTTGTCCCAAGTCCCTCCCCAGCTTTCCTGGAGCCCCTTCAGGCCTTAGAAGCTGCTCTAATGTCTAAGACCCTCATTTTATTTTTGGTTTGTATTGAAACTCTCCAGTTATTTTTCTAGATAACAACCTGTCTCATCAGCTGGTCATCATTAAAACAGGGTTTTAATTTTTTTAAATACATATGGTAACAATTTGATTTTTATTACCAAGTAATATTTTAAAACATATTTAAGCAACCACACAGACATTTCTTTCTAGACATCTTAGTTTTTATTTTGTAAAAAATAGGCTCCTTTATAATTTTAAGAAGAGATACATCTCCTTGTGTAGGTACCTGTGATAGATGCAAAGTTAAATTTAGATGAAAACTGGAATTCATTTAAAAATCCACAGACCATCTTCTAGAAAAGGAAAAACAGACATTTCTCATGTGTACAAACATTCAGTCTTTGAAACACTTTGTAAGTGTAATTTGTAGTTAGGAATGAAGCTGGTTATCTCTGGTCACTGTGTCCTCCCAGATGACAGGGTGAATGTTTCTAGTGCTTTAAATGGGGCAGGGAAAAGGAGAGCACTTGGCAGGGACATGTCTGGGGTGGTTGTAGCTGACCTGGCCTGTCTCTTGCTGTGTTGCAGAAGCCAGCATCAGCAGCCTGAAGCAGGCAGCACTTGTGAAAGCTCCACTCATTCCCACCCTGAATGCCCTGGTGCAGTACCTGGATCTGTCACCAAACCAGGAGTATTTGGTGGAAAGGATCAAAGGTAGGTGGTGTCACCGTGCTGAAACACTTCCCTGCCACTCTGGGGTGTTGGTGGCTCCAGTGGAGATGCCTGAAGAGTCATGGCAGGGATGAGAGCTGCTTTTAAGCAGGAGAATTAGAGAATGGCCAGGGTTGGAAGGGACCTCTGGAGATCATCAAGTCCACCCCTCCTGCCAGAGCAGGATCCAGTACTTGAAGGGGGCCTGCAGGAAAGCTGGGGAGGGACTTTTCATCAGAGAAGACAGTGATAATACAAGGGGTGATGGTTTTAAACTGAGAGAGGGGAGATTTAGGTGAGATATTAGGAAGAAATTCTTCACTCTAAGGGTGGTGAGGAACTGGAATGAGTTGCCAAGGGAGGTTGTTGATGCCCCATCCCTGGAGGTTTTTAAGGCCAGGTTGGCTGAGGTTTTGTGCAACCTGGTCTAGTGGTTCCCTGCTCATGGCAGGGGGGTTGGAACTTGGTGATCTTTAAGGTCCCTTCCAACCTTCATGATTCTATGATCCCCCCGGTCAGGTCACTCAGAAAGGCACCCAGACAGGTCTGGAAAGTCTCCAGAGAAGGAGACTCCACCACCTCTCTGGGCAGCCTGTCCCAGGGCTCTGTCACCCTCACAGGAAAGAAGTTTCTCCTCATGTTGAGGAGAGATGTTTCTTCCCAGCTTTCTCTTTTCACAGCCACACAGGACTTGGATGCACCTTTGGGGATGGGTTTTAAAAGCTTGATTTCTCCTTCCCCTCCTGTGTGCTCGGGGTGCAAAGTGCTGGATTTTAATCCATTCATCACAAATCAAAACCACCCTGTACATTTACCTCCCATATGATCCCCTTCACAGGCATTTCATTCCCTGAACTCTCTCCTATTTTGTACACTGGAAACCTGTAGGAAGCCCCTGAAATGAGCATAAAATACCACTTTTATACACTTTTAACCCCCAGTAAGTGAATAAATCCTGTTGCTTTCAGAGCTTTCCCAGGGAGGCTGCATGAGCTCGTTCAGATGGAACAGAGGAGGGGATTTCAAAGGCCGAAAGTGGGACACTGACCTGCCCACTGACTCCTCTGTAAGTTCTTGAAGACCTCTCGTGACAACACCTTAAATCTTTGGAATTGGGAAGGCAGGAAGTGTTTTGAGGAACATGGGAAAATCCTGTTTGCATCGTTGACACAGATAATCCCCTTGTAGTTGGCAAGATTCGGTGGGGAATAATGCAAAAGGCAGGAGTGCTGGTTCACTGGGGGATGTTTTGTGAGAAACCTGAAGCTGTTGCACTTCCTACTGGAGAGAAAACTTGTTGTAACCTCAGCCCCTTCATCTGCAAGGTCAGGAGGAGCAGCCCCTCAGTGGAAGGAATGACTTAAAAATTCAACTAAAGGAATGAAAATAATTTTTTAAAAGACCACTGAACAATCCAGGGAGTAGAAAACAGGCTTTGGAATGTGACTTTTAAGCTAAACTCTGTATCTGAAAGTAGAGTTTGGGTGAATTCGTTTTTTTATCCCCCACTGTAAATAGATTTTTCAGTTTCTTGGGAGAATAAAACCCAGGAATGTCAGAGCTTCCCAGGTTGGCAGACAAATATCTAACCATTTTCAGTTGTACAAAATCAGTCCTAAAATGGGATTTGATTTTCTGTTTGTTAAAAGGATTAAATATTTGGTAGTTTCTTGGCCACGGGGCAACTCTTGGTGTCTTGAAATTAACAGGGTGAAAAACTCCAGAGTGTTTAAAGGTCATGAGACAGAGGATTCAGTCTTTTCTCACAACCACCTGGGAGAGGTGGAGTTGGGGGGGCAGGAAATGAAACTTGAAGAGTTCTCTGCTACAAGAGATTAAAATGAACATGAGGTTTTGACATCACTTACTCAAGATAATCAATATAACAAAAAATTAAAAATACAATTTTGCATGTGTTTTTGTTCCTCACACTGGAGGCAACACAAAGCTCTTGTTTCCAAGGTGCATCTCCCAAAATTCTGGAGGCTTCTGGTGTTTGGCCCAGAGAAACTTTTGGTTTTGTCCATGGAACAGATCCTGTTCTAGAGAACAAACACAGACATCACCAGCTGGCAGCTCATTTACCCACATCAAATGTTGAAGGGCCCTCCAGGAAGGGTTAAAACACCCAGAAGCTGTAGTGTGGGTTTCTGGTGACTCCTTCCAGGACTTGATTTCAAAATGTTGATGTTTTTCAGAAGATTTATGGCCAAGTTCAGGATTTTCCAGTGATTTTTATTTTGCCTTTCTGAGGGGAAAAAGGAGAAATCTGCTGGGTTGGGGCAGTGTCAGGGAAGCTGTAATTTGATTTCATCTGCCAATCTCAGCCAGAATCCTTGCAGCTTGTACCAGAGCCCATGGATAAAGCAGCTGCCCTGGAGATCTTAGGCTCCATATGTCAATCAGATCCATGACTTTGCCAAATTCTGCAGGAATTCTGAGAGGATGACAAAAAAAGCTGCTGCATTTTTAAGGCTGCTGAAGTGAGGTTTTGGTTTTCTCTGCCCAGATCATCATGCACGTGTTCTGCACTTACCTTGACTCCAGACTGCCTCCTCACCCCAAGTATCCTGATGGGAAAACCTTCACTTCCCAACACTTCATCCAGACCCCAGACAAACCAGGTATTGACACTCACAGTTCCCTGCTCTCTGATAGAATCACAGAATAGTTTGGGTTGGAAGGGACCATAAAGATCACCTAGTTCCAACCCCCCTGCATGGGCAGGAACACCTCCCACCAGACCAGGCTGCTCTAAGCCCCATCTGACCTGCCCTTCAACACTGCCAGGGATGGGGCAGCCACAGCTTCCCTGGGCAACCTGGGCCAGGGTCTCACCACCCTCAGTGAAAAATTTCTTCCTTATGTCCAACCTTGATCTCCCCTCTTCCAGCTGGAAACCTTTCCCCCTGCTCCCATCCCTCCCTGCCCTTGCCCCAAGTCCCTCTCCAGCTTTCCTGGAGCCCCTTCAGGCACTGGAAGCTGCTCTAAGGTCTCCCTGGAGCCTTCTCTTCTCCAGGCTGAACACCCCAACTCTCCCAGCCTGTCTCCAGAGCAGAGCTGCTCCAGCCCTCCCAGCATCCATGAGGCCTCCTCTGGCCTCTCTCCAACAACTCCATGTCCTTCCTGTGTTGGGGATCCCTGAGGTGGCCCCAGCCCTGCAGCAAAGCAGAGCAGAGGGGACAATTCCCTCCCTGGCCCTGCTGGTCACCCTGCTGGTGACAGCCCAGGACACACAGGGGTGGTTTCTGGGCTCCAGCACACGGTGCCAGCTCCTGTTGAGCTTCTCCTCACCCAACACCCCCAAGTCCTTCTCCTCAGGGTTTCTCTCCATCCATTCTCCACCCAGCCTGGATTTGTCCTTAGGATTGTCCCCACCCATGAGCAGGACCCTGCACTTGGCCTTATTGAACTTCATCAGGTTCACATGGTCTCACCTCTCCAGCCTGTCCAGGTCCCTCTGGATGGATCCCTTCCTTCCAGCATGTCACCACACCACACAGCTGGTGTCATTAGCAAACCTGCTCGGGGGTTCATCTCAGCTCACCTCAACACGCCTCAGCATTCCCATTGTCTTTTCCTTCCCAGACACTTCCAATGAAAACGTGTTCTGCATCTACCAGAGCAGCATCAACCCACCCCACTACGAGCTGATCTACCAGCGCCACGTCTACAACCTGCCCAAGGTACTTGCCCTCCTCCTGCTGCCAGGAAAGCAGCTCTGATTTGGGTTTGTTTTTAGGAATTAGCCACATTTACTGAATACAGTGTCCAGTTCTGGTGCCCTCAGCATAAGAAAGATACAGACCTGTTGGAGAGGTCCAGAGAAGGGCCACCAAGATGATCCAAGAGCTGGAGCAGCTCTGCTCTGGAGTCAGGCTGGGAGATTTGGGGTGTTAAGCCTGGAGAAGAGAAGGCTCCAGGGAGACCTTAGAGCAGCTTCCAGTGCCTGAAGGGGCTCCAGGAAAGCTGGGGAGGGGCTTTTCATCAGAGAAGATGGGGATAATACAAGGGGGGATGGTTTTAAACTGAGAGAGGGGAGATTTAGGTGAGATATTAGGAGGAAATTCTTCACTCTAAGGGTGCTGAGGAACTGGAATGGGTTGCCCAGGGAGGTTGTTGATGCCCCATCCCTGGAGGTTTTTAAAGCCAGGTTGGCTGAGGTTTTGTGCAACCTGGTCTAGTGGTTCCCTGCTCATGGCAGGGGGTTGGAACTTGGTGATCTTTAAGGTCCCTTCCAACCTTCATGATTCTCTGATTCTAATATTTACACACAGACTGGCCCAGTGCAGGAATGAAACATCAGCTTGGTCTTTGACCACACATGGTGCTTAGTCTGCCACTACACAACAGCTTTAATACCTATTTCAGATACAAAACCACCTCTCCAGGAGCTTCCTCATCTTTATTTTCTATTTAACTATTTTAGAATAAGTCCTGTGCATTATCACCCCCTCAGGCCAGCACATTCATAGGAGTTCTGGGGGGGGGGAAGCTTCCAGCATCAAAACAGTGAAACTCTTCCATTTCATTTTCATTTAACAGTAAAGTTTAATTTTAATTCTCTCTCATTGCTGGATCTCTGCTTTCCAAAAAGCTCCAGAATTTGAAGCATTTGGAGATGATCATCTGATCTAGTGTCCCTGCCTGTGCAGGGGAGGTTGGATCTAGATGATCTTTAAGGTCCCTTTTCTCTTTCTGTGGATTCAGGGCAGAAACAACATGTTCCACACCTTGCTGATGTTCCTGTATATCATAAAGACAAAAGAATCCGGGATGTTGGGGTGAGTTCCTGTCATTCCCTGGAATCGCGCTGCGTGCGGGATGGGAGTGGAGCCACCCTGGCTTGAAGCAACATCTCTTGAAGGCACCTTACACCAAACAAGCTATGCAGCCCAGAAACCACCCTGTGTGTCCTGGGCTGTCACCAGCAGGGTGACCAGCTGGGCCAGGGAGGGGATTGTCCCCTCTGCTCTGCTCTGCTGAGACCCCCCTGCAGGGCTGGGGCCACCTCTGGGGTCCCCAACACAGGAAGGACATGGAGCTGTTGGAGAGAGGCCAGAGGAGGCCCCAGAGATGCTGGGAGGGCTGGAGCAGCTCTGCTCTGGAGCCAGGCTGGGAGAGTTGGGGTGTTGAGCCTGGAGAAGAGAAGGCTCCAGGGAGACCTGAGAGCAGCTTCCAGTGCCTGAAGGGGCTCCAGGAAAGCTGGGGAGGGGCTTGGGACAAGGGCAGGGAGGAATGGGATGAGGGGGAAGGGTTTCCAGCTGGAAGAGGGAGCTGGAGATGAGATGTGAGGGAGAAATTCTGTGCTGTGAGGGTGGGGAGAGCCTGGCCCAGGTTGCCCAGGGAAGCTGTGGCTGCCCCATCCCTGGCAGTGTTGAAGGGCAGGTTGGATGGGGCTTGGAGCAGCCTGGTCTGGTGGGAGGTGTCCCTGCCCATGGCAGGGGGTTGGAACTGGATGACCTTGGCTGTCCTTTCCAGCCCAGTCCATCCCACCATTCCATGACTGTACGAAACGCTGCGATGGGACAGACACTGATGGTGTTAAAATCATCCTCTGGGTTGAGACACAACCTCAGTTTCTTCATCCATCTGGTTAGATCTGATGTGCACGAGAAATAAAACCAATGTCCAGGTTCCCCCTCCCCAACAGCCCCACCTCCCATCCCCAGCCCCACCCCTGCCTGGGAGATGCTGACGTGTCAAACAATCAGTTTTTAGTCCATATTTCCATTTTCTTGCCATTTATTGTCGCCGCTTCTGGTTTTGCAGGCGGGTGAACCTCGGATTATCCGGAGTCAACGTCCTGTGGATTTTTGGGGAATAACCTCTCCAGGGAGGATCCCACTTCAGAGGAAAACCCCTCCCCCGCTGCCACGAGCGGAGCAGCCTCATTACCTGCTTGAGTTAATGAATTTCAGCTCTGCTCTGTGGGCAGAGGGGACATGTTTTTAACTCCCGCGTGGGTTCGGTGACCGGAGGGTTGGAACGTTTGGTCCCGGTGCCACGGGAACACCGGGCAGGTTTTGTCTTCCCAGCTCCTGGTCTGAACAAATCCCGTTTTCCAAAAGGTTTTGCAGTTTCTGTTCCCTGTGTCCATCTGGGGCGTCACCTCTGATCTGAGATTGACTGGTCTGAACCAAGGTTAACTAGTTTGAACCAACCTTAACTAATCCGAACCAAGATTAACTGAACCAAACCGATAATAACTGGTGTGAACTGAGCTTGACTGATCCAAACACAGGTGAACTCATCTGAACCAAGCTTAACTGGTCTGAACTGAGCTTAACTGATCTAAGTTTAACTCATCTGAACTGACTTTAACTAACCTGAAGCAAGATTAACTGATCTGAACCAAGCTTGACTGATCAGAGCCAAGGTTAACTGATCAGAACCAAGTCTAACTGATCAGAACTGAGGTTGACTGATCTGAACTGAGTTTAGTTGATCTGAACTGAGCTTGGAACGGAAATTAATTGATCAGAACTGACCTTAACTAATCTCAGTTGACCTCAGCTAATCTGAACTGAGGTTAATTGAGCTGAACTGAGTTAAAACTGACCAGAACTAGGCTTAACTGCTCTGAACTGAGCTTCACTGACCTCAGGACCAAACTCCAACCCCCAGAGCCCACGATGGCGTTGCCACAGGGGGATGATCCAGCCCTTTGGCCCGAGGGATCCCAGGAATTCCAGAGGGATCCAGGAAAATCCCAACCCAGACTCGTTTGGCTTCATCCCATGATTAGAACCCCCAGGATTATTTTAATTGCCATTGGGTTTCCTGCCCCCATGGGGGGGTTTGTGCTGCAGGGAAGGGAAGAGGCACCAAGGTTGGAATTGTAGGATTGGGAAAATCCCTTTGGAATTGGATTTTAATTCTCATTTTTGGTGGTTTTTCTCAACCACATCAGCCCCCCTCCCAGCCCTGCTCTCCAACCTGTTCCCTTCAGCCCCAACCTTTTAGGGTTTTCCTACATTTTTACTGCTCCCAACAACTTTTCCTACATAACCTGGAATTCCGGGATCAGCCCTGAAGCTCCATCGCCCTGTGGGAACACCCAAGAATTTTGGTTCCCGGGTGGAAAGAGGAGTTTTTGTTCTCTCCTCGGGTTCTTCCCGTGGTTTCAATGTCCCCAAATCCAAGGAGGAGGGACCGAAGATCCCGGAATTTTGAAGATCCCGGATTTTTTTTGTCCCAGGTTCCTTCACCCACGTGACTCCCGGCGCTTTCACTGCTCCTGGAAGGGCAGGAATTTTCAGCTTTCACCCCAAAAAACAACGGGGGTTTTGCTCCTGAAGGGCCCGTCCCCGGGGTACCCTGATATACCACCCTCCCCGCCCCCCCGGATATACCAC